GAAGCCTTTGCAACAGGCCGTGGGGCTGCCACAAATATATTTGAGACAATAAATGAAGTAAGTAACCGCTGCTTGCTTTGGGAGGGATGAGGAGAGTTTCAAGGAATGTAAAGTGAGCTTCTGCCATGAGTGCAAATTAGAAATATTATAGTGATTAGAAGAAACTGATTGCAAGTTAAAGCAAACCAGTATCCTGCCTTACAAAGAGTGCATTCATCCAAATGACATTCCTAAGTGATTTTCTTATGAATATTCAGCTCCTCACTGAGCCCCACTCTGTCTGTCAAAGAGGGCTATACTTTATAAGGTACCTGATCATCAAGAAAGGCAGTGAGGCAATTTGCAAATTAAGTGGTTTCAGGAACTAAGTCCTTCTGGCCCCTCAGGCATGTGATTATAAGAAGAAAAAAAAGGAGGCCAGAAGCTCCAAGAATGAAATTAATATGTGTAGCACTGCCAATGCTTCAGAATTTTGCAAGGAAAAAAAACCCACTCATTAAATCTTTCCTACAATAATTCTGTGGATACCAACAAGCTATGGCTGTAGACGTCAATGATATTCTATTAGTTTTATTTTTTGCTTTGCCAAAAATAAGTGAAATGCATATAAACAGACACGTCTATGTATACTGAACAAAGCCACTGTGGATGTGTGGTTAAGGCATCAGGCTAGAAGTTAGGAGTCATGTCTGAGAGCCAAAGCCAGCTGGGTGACACTTGGGCTGCTCATTCTTGCTCAGCTCTAGGAAAAGAGCCAGGGCAAATCATTTCCAAAAAATCTTGCCAAGAAAACTGCAAGGATTAGACCAGGCAGTCACCAGGAGTCAGAAACTGACTTGAAGGCATCAAAACAAATCAATATAAAAACATGTACTGAATTGTTTATTTAAGTAAGTCTTTTCTGCATTGGAGCACACAACCCAACTTCTGGTCCGCCTTAAGCATGGAACCTGCCTGATGACTTTGGGCTTGTCACTCACTCTCAGTTCAACCTATTTCATAGAATTATTGTGGGTGAAAATAGGAGGAGTGATTCCTGTATGTGCCACCTTTTGTTCCTGAATATAAACTAGCAAGCCAATAACTTGTATGGTCTAAATCGGGTAGGCAACCTTGGCTCTTTTATGACTCGTGGACTTCAACTCCCAGAATTCCTGAGCCAGCCATGCTGAGGGGAAAAGGAGAGGTTTCCAAGCTGAGCCATGCTGGCTCAGGAATTCTGGGAGTTGAAGTCCACGAGTCATAAAAGAGCCATGGTTGCCTACCCCTGGTCTAAATGCTCTGGGTGCCATGAATGGGTGATATAAATCAGTGTTTCCCAACCTCGGCCACTTGAAGATGTGTGGACTTCAGTTCCCATAATTCCCCAGCTAGGGTTTCAAGAGTTTGACACGTTCTCTAGCTAGAAACTAAGCAATTTACCAAGACATTCATGGAAAAGTTAAGTACTGAGTTGGGAGTGGAAATCAATAAGAGATGGAATCGCCACGAGGGCATTTCTGAAGGTCTGTTCAAGGTCTAAGGGAGGAAAGATAAATCCTTCAGATGGAGATGTAAAACTAGCTACTCTGCACTGAAAGAAAGCTTCTTGAGAAAAAAGCAAATTGAGTGATCTGATTACTTCTGTCCCAGAAACCTAAAATTGACTGTATGTCAGAAGATGGCTACAAACTGGACAAAGTCCGGGGTGAAATTGAATTCCATAATGTAACCTTCCATTACCCATCCAGGCCGGACGTCAAGGTAAGAACTCAAATGGTTCTAGTTGACAGCATTGCCATAATTTCCATATTTATTCTGGGTACCTAAATGGGCCTTTTCAAATACAGTGCCATTTTCTTTCTTTTTCAACTCCAGATTTTAGATAACCTCAGCATGATTATCGAGCCAGGTGAAACCACAGCCTTTGTTGGCCCAAGCGGAGCAGGGAAAAGTACCACAATTCAGCTGATCCAGCGCTTCTATGACCCTACAGAAGGCATGGTGAGGCTTTGACCTAACTCTGTCATCTTTCTTTCATTGAAAAAATCCTGAAGCTTGATCCATTCCTGCTGCGTAATTATGTTTGCAATTTACTGTTGCGGCGTGCTCTTAGCCTCCTCTAATCAACCGGTCTTTGAACTCAAAGAGAACATAACATTTATTTATTTACCGAACTCAAATGGCTACCTGTCTCATATGATGATCCTAGCCAGCCCATAATAATCAATACAAACAGAGATAGAAATAGAACCATCTTTCCCACCAGGTGCCAGACCAAACAGCCTCCCAGCTCAACCTCCATCCAAGCCCAATGCTTGGAGGAATAGTCATCTCTTCATGGCCTTCTGAATGCTAAAAAGGTAGGGAACCCTTGAATCTCACAGAGGAGGCTATTCCAAAGAACAGGGGCAGCTGCTGAGACAGTGTGCCTCTAAGGTACCATCAGATGACAACATTTAAGGAAGGGGACTGGAATGTACCCACCTAGCAAAACTAATAGGATGGGCAAATCACCTCAGGGGCTCCAAACACGTCAAAGAGGAATGAGGCCACATCCATATTTATATGAGAGATGCCTGGGTTTCAAAACTGGAAATGGAACACTTTGTTGAACCTTGTGATTCCCCCCCCCCCGCCCCATGTGCACATCTTTGACTACATGGAAAGGCATCGTGTCATTGGCATGCAAAATGAATGGAGATGTTTTTCATTGTGTAATACATGAATAGAATACATTCTATGAATGGGATATTTGTGCAAACGGAAAATGTATCTTGGCAAGCAGTTCTCTCAGGACTCAGATCAGTTAAATTTCATACTTTGTGGTAAGCTTCATGAACCCTCATTAAGTCAGAGTTTTCTTAACTCTGATTTTGTTGAGGAAGTTAGCTGGGTACACATATTTCATTAGGACAAAATGAAGAAAAAAAATCCATTATGATGTGCTCCAGGATGTGGCACAATCCATCCGTATAAAAATATTTTTAAATTCTTTTCATGGTCTTTTAATATCCAATCCACCTAGATAAATGAAATTATTAAGTAATATTATCTCACAGGCTTGCATCTGAATTAAAATGTCGAACAAAAAGAACATTAATCTCTGGAAAATTCAGAATTGGTTTGCATAGCCATCCTAAATACTGGTACCTAGAATTGTATCATTGCTTGTTTCATTTCATTGCTAACCAACTCTTACATATTTTACTAAGGAATTAAGTATATTGTTTGTTGTATTAACAACAACTCCTGGGGTTCTTCCATAAGATACATCTGCAGAGGCATATCAATACAATGATCAGAATTCAAAGAATTGTGAAGCTAATGACATGTGTCCAGAGAGACCTTGTGTTATTCTTACTTCCCCCTCCCTACAAGGGATGCTCAGATGCTGTAGAGCAGAGGGTCTTCAAACTTGGCCCTTTTATGACTTGTGGACTTCAACTCCCAGAATTCCTCAGCCAGGGACGCTAGCTGAGGAATTCTGGGAGTTGAAGTCCACAAGTCATAAAAGGGCCAAGTTTGAAGACCCCCTGCTGTAGAGGAGATTATGTTTGAAACCAAGAGACATTTGTTTTTCTTTTCATGTATATGTATACATCTGAACTAGACTGTGTTGTTTCTCTGGGCCACATAGGTGTGTGTATGTGAGTATATGCATAATTTTATGTATTTGTTTATTTTGTCATATTTATGCAGTGTATATTGGAGGTGGTTACCCTTTGAGAGCTGAATGCAATGAAATCTCACTTTAACGTATGTTGATTAGTGTACATTTAAAGAGACAATAAAGTTATTCTATTCTATTCTATTCTATTCTATTCTATTCTATTCTATTCTATTCTATTCTATTCTATTTATGTGTGGCTTGAGATTAAGGGAAAATTGTGGAAAATTAATAGGCTAGACTTAGCCTCAGTAGCTGTGCTTCCAGGCATTGTATGTAGGAATTAGAAATGAAACTGGAAGCAGTGGAGTATAATGCTGCTGTTTTAAGAAGTTTTCTGTTAAGAGAGGAAGATGTGGACTTGAAGGTGCAGGTGACCATAGTCTTTACTTACGAATTGTTATTGTGCAGGTTACCCTAGATGGACACGACATTCGTTCCCTTAATATTCAGTGGCTGCGTTCTTTGATGGGTGTCGTGGAACAAGAACCCGTCTTGTTTGCCACCACAATAGCAGAAAACATCCGCTATGGTCAGGAAAATGCCACTATGGAAGACATCATCAGAGCAGCCAAAGAAGCGAACGCCTACAACTTTATCATGGATCTGCCTCTGGTAAAAGAAACTTCATCTTATCCCTTCTCAGTCCTCTACCAAGATTGCCTCTTACACCACATCTGCATAGTTTGAAATCACTAAGTCAGGGGTTGACAACATGTTGTCCTCTAGTGCCAAAGCAACCATGACACTCAATATTAATTTGGTTAAATGATCGCTTCTAAGAAATGACCAGCATATCAAGACCTTCTTAAAGCTTAAGAACTCTTTCACACAATCTCACGATGAGATTGTCCGTTCGCCGAGAACTGCCTGTACCTAGCTAGTGGTTAGCAGTACTCATTGGAATGATCCATCTAAGGATTATTTGTGTATCTAGTGAAACTTTTCAGACCATTTCTATTTAATAGCTTTGCATAGTACAACATACAGTGTGCTTCATCTTACCCCTGCTGAAGCCACTTGCACCTGGAGTAAAGGACGGTAGAAAACACATTGCTCCTGGTGAAGGAACAGAGGTGAACCAGTCTTTCTTCCCCTAAGATTTTTCCTTTAAAAGATCTTAAAGGAGATTAAAACAAAAAGAGCAGCTGCAGAAAAAAAAACCCTCTTGAAATCATAATCTATATGTGGATATGCACATGGGGTTATTATGCTTTATCGTGCATGCATAATTATACGTGAGTTAGAGTTATTGTTATTTTTTTCCCATGGAAAAGGAGGATATACTGTATATTTTCAATTTATACATATATATATTTATGTATAAATATACTGCATGCATGCTTGAGTTTGGGCAAATAAGAGTGCTACTAAAAGCTGAATTTAGTAGTCAATAGTACCTTCAGATCTCATACATAATACATATCATGTCCAAATTCACTGTGATTGTTTTCAGGAATGATGACTTAGGAGTTAGACTTGATCTAAAGCAGCACCTTATCTTAGACCGGCCTTTGATATTTTCCATATATACAGGTAGTCCTCGACTTACAATTTTTCATTTAATGACCAAAGTTGCAATGCCACTGAAACAAGGGACTTAAGACTGTTTTTCACACTTCCAGCCATTGCAGCATCCCCATAGTCACGTGATCAAAATTCAGATGCTTGGCAACTGGTGTGTATTTGTGACGGTTGCAGTGTCCCTGGGGTCACATGATCACCTTTTTGTGACCTTCTGACAAACAAAGTCAATGGGGAAGCCAGAATGACTTTACAACCATGTTACTAACTTAACAATCACAGTGATTTATTTAAACAACTGTGGCAAGAAAGGTCATAAATTGGGGCAAAGCTCACTTAACAATTATCTCGCTTAGCAACATGAATTTTGAGCTCAGTTGTGGTTGTAAGTCGAGGACTACCTATATTGGACTTCAGTTCCAATATAGTTCCTAGGGCAGTGAGCATAATAGTGAGGGATTATGGGAGCTGAAGCCCAATCTATCTAGATAGTGGCATTTGGGGAAGTCCTTTTCCTCTTATATCCGAGAGTTGTACAATTGTGGCCCAACAACATATTTTTATTTCCTGCCTTGAGCCCAGATCTTGCTTTCCTCTTGTCCCCAGGCCTGGAGTGAGCTTAATCATCTGTAGTCTACCATTTTTTTCCTCCAGCCTGGCCCCATCCAAGCAGCAGGTGGCATCAATTAGGCTTGTAAAGCAGGCCTCAGACTGGCCATGGCTTGAAGCAGAGGCAGGGTAGGGATTAGAAAATCGCAGGCCAGGATAGTTTTCTGCCAGGTCAAAGATTTGCAGAGCAGCACCATCTCAGCAGTGAGGAGAGCCCTTAGGACTTCTGTTTTCCCATTCTGCAAGAGTTGATACAGAATTGGCAGCCCCCCTCCCTTGGCATGCTTCCCTTGGTGCATTTCTCTTCTCGGACAAAGCTTCCTGCAACATCCTTGCTTCATGAGCAGGCGGACCTTCCCTCTGGAGCAAAGATAAGCTTCTTTTTTTTCACCACATCTTTCGCCAGAAGGCCAAAGTCCCAGTTATTCCATGGCTGCTTCTCTGCCTTATCTCATCGTTCCCCAAGGCAGGGGTGGGGAACGATGGCCCTTTTATGACCTGTGGACTTCAACTCTCCTGAGCATGGCTGGCTCAGGAATTCTGGGAGTTGAAGTCCACGAGTCATAAAGGGGCCACCGTTCCCCACCTCTGACCTAAGAGGACTGAGATGAAAGCACTTTTTAACTTTTTTGCTCTTTCCACTATTTCAGCAATTTGACACCCTTGTTGGAGAAGGTGGTGGCCAAATGAGCGGCGGCCAGAAGCAGCGAATTGCCATTGCTCGGGCTTTAGTTCGAAAACCCAGAATCCTGTTGTTGGACATGGCTACATCAGCACTGGACAATGAAAGCGAGGCTACTGTGCAGAAGACACTTTCCAAGGTTATTATACTATTTCAGTTCATTGGGGTTAGGAATCCTTCGCTTTTTCAGTCTCTTAAGTACGGCCTCTTTATCAATAGAGGTGCTTCTTTTCCATGGTTTTAACAACAGCTCTGGGATATAACGTTATGGTTAACATGGTAAACTGGAGTGTCAGACGAGGAGTAGGAATTTCTTTTTGACTTTTCCATCCACCACTTAGGCAGATGTTGGCCGATTTCATACAGGGCATTACTAAGCGTGTGGTTTGCCTAGCTTTGGCTTTGCATACTGTATGAATCCAGACATCGTGCTTTGTAAATATGGTTTAGGCCAGGGGTAGGCAACCTTGGCTCTTTTATGACTCGTGGACTTCAACTCCCAGAATTCCTGAGCCAGCATGGCTCAGCTTGGAAACCTCTCCTTTTCCCCTCAGCATGGCTGGCTCAGGAATTCTGGGAGTTGAAGTCCACGAGTCATAAAAGAGCCAAGGTTGCCTACCCCTGGTTTAGGGCTTAGTTAAGTTTGTGAGGGCAACTACTCTGCTTTATTCAGTTTAGATTGTGGTTTAGCCTAATCGATGAATTTGAGCGCTGTTTTAACTGTGGAGAGGGTAAACCTTGAGTGGGGAAGGGAGGCAGCTACAGTATTTCATCTAAAGACTTTGGGGAACAACAAATGATCGATTTTATTTAGATTTTGCATCTTTCTCCAATGCACAAAAGAGCTGTTGCTTGCTGCAGTCTTCCTTTGAAATGAACGTGACAGCTCTTGTGAACGGAAAGGCCTGTGTGTGCACTGGAATTCCATAAAGGTTTGTTTAAAAAACAGTGACCGAGATGTATTTCAAAACATTTAAACCTCACAAGCATTCGTTGTCCATCGGATGGGCTGGCACTTTCCAGAGAATTAGGTTTCAGTAAGAATGGGTTGGAGATGCTGGCAAAAAGAATGTAGGGATATCCAGATCAAATCACTTGATGGTTCTTTTCACTCTCTGGATTACCAGGGCAGCATTCTGGTCCATTCAGATTTCATAATCAGATTTTTCTCTAAAACCCTTCTTCTATTTTCACATGCTGTTTTGCTTAAGACACAGAACTTTGTGCAGTTTCCTACCACGTACATATTGTTGCAGATTTGCAGGAAAATTGAGTGCCACTCTCTAAGAACTACTGTACCTTTGATCTCCTGAAGAGTCTGCAAGCATCATTTTCAAAAGAGGATTGAGAGAGAGAGCCAAAAGGAGGGTATCCTTATAGGGAAGGAAGTACAGTAGTTCTCTACTTCCTCTACAGCTTTTGCATTTAGAGTTTTTGTAATTTTAAAAAAGGACAGATGAGAGATGTTTGCTTCTTTTGTCTGCTGGAGTTCAATCACATTGCTCTCTAAGTTATTTCTTGGAAATACCATAGTATTATTGTTTAAAATACATTTTAAAAATGGATGCATAAATGCTGCACGCAACAAATGTATGTTTCGTGCCCACAACAAATCCCATTTTTCAAAAGCATTCTTAGCTCGAAGTAGATACGAGGCAGTGCTTCGGAAATGCAATCACCCAGACACAGCTGTGTTATTAAGAAAGAGGGGTGGAATACTCCATGGGGATTTAATTGGGGTTTCAGTAACACCACTTATTTTATTTTTTAAAATATGATTTATTCATTTGGACCCACGCAGCTGGCTTTCTCTGTTAATGAATAGGAATGAGAGATTTTGCAACTTCATGGAAACTTAAATTCTGAAAACAGACATAGGTAAACAACAGAGGAAAATTAGACTGAAATAAGCAGGGGAAGAATATGTGATTGCTTTATCTTCTTGCAAAGCACTGTAGAGGAAGATTTGGCAATAACCACTTCTGTAACCTCCAACCTCCAAAGATTGTACTGTCAAAAGTCATTTTTTGCACTGTCATCTTCCTTCCTAGGCTAAAATATGCACTGCCATGCCTTCCGCAGATTGCAGAGCCTTTAAATGATATGAAAAACTGTGCCCTGGCAACCCAGGAAGGTGCCCATCTTGGCACTGAGTATTGCAGGATTCCTCAACATGGTATCTGTGGGGACGAACGTCCTTCTTCACACCTCCCTTGGAATCCTTGGGGATTTGAATACTAGCCACATTGTAGCTATTTTATGAGTGAGCATGGATGCAACATGGTTGTGATGGCAAGTGTCGTCTGTAGTGGTGGGATACAAATACCTGAACAACCGGTTCTCTTATTGGATGCAGGCCTAGTCCTCTGAGGCCTGGAATGGACTTCCGGAAGTGGCATCCACACACTTCTGGTGGGCCGTTCTAGGCCTGGGAGGCCTCCAGGCCTCCAAAGCACAGACTGGACTTCCAGAAGCAGTGTGCATTCAGCCGGTTCTCTGAACTCAGCAAAATTTAGCTACCGGTTCTGCTGAACCAGTGCGAACTGGCTGAATCCCACCACTGGTCGTCTGGTACATTAGCCGATGTATTCTGCACAAATTGAAGCTTCTGGATAGTGCCCCATTTGGTCTATGTCTCATGAAACAGGAGTTGTGAATCCAGCAAATCCTGCTCTTTCGGGGGAAATGCCTCCATCCCCCCACCACCAGAAAGTGACTGCCATAGCCATGAATGAACAAACAATTTCTGTCAATGCTAGAACAATTCAGGCATTCGGGTCGCACAGGTTTATTAAGGTTATTTTGCTATTAAGTTACATGACACATCAGCCCCCCATATTAATTTAAGGAATCTTTTGACATTTATACACAGCATCCATACTTGTAGAGAGAAATCAGCTGATTAAGGTTCATTCCATCCTCTGGGATGACAGAAGTACAGACCTAACTATTCTAGCTGTCATGAATGGTTGCGCCTCCAAAGATCATTCTTTCATTGCTGTAGGCTCGTTCTGGGCGCACTGCGATCTCCATAGCTCATCGCCTGTCCACAGTGAAATCTGCTGACATCATTATTGGGTTTGAGCATGGAAGAGCTGTGGAAAGAGGGAAACACGAAGAGCTGATAGAACGGAAAGGAGTGTATTTCACACTGGTGACGTTGCAAAGCCAAGGCGACAAGGCACTCATGGAAACATCAATGCAAAGCAAGTGCCTGATTCTGTATCTTTAATGTTCCTAACTCAAATAATTAACTTCCTGTTAATGAAGCCTGAGTTTTATTTTCTTTTGGTTCCACAGAGAATTAGACTTTGCATATTTCATACCAAAGGAAGCCGTCCACTTTAGGATCAAATGATTTCTTCTTGCATTGTATTAAAGATAGCTCAGATATTATTTACTCTGATATTGCATTGTATTAAAGATAGCTCAGATATTATTTACTCTGATATTAGCTGTCTCAAGGTACCTTAAAAGCCTCCCATTTCTTTGAATTGAATATGCCTAGGGCTGAACCTTGAGCTTTGTGGAGACAACACATGGCTCTACTGCTACCAGGCAAAACAGTGATTTGTGGAAACATACAGATACTTTCAGCCAGAGTTTTCTAAAGCATTTTTTTTTGTCTTCACCTAATGTTCTGAAAAGTGCTTCCCTTCCCAATAGCAGTAGCACTTAGATTTATATACTGCTTCACAGTGCTTCACAGCCCTCTCTAAGCAATTTACAGAGTCAGCGTATTGACCCCAACAATCTGGGTCCTCATTTTACTGACCTCAGAGGGATGGAAGGCTGAGTCAATCTTGAGCCAGTCAGGATCGAACTCCTGGCAGTGAGCAGTGAGTTAGCCTGCAATACTGCACTCTAACCACTGCGCCACCACAGTTCCTTTATCCAATGATAACTCATCTCCAACTACTTACATTTGTAATGCAGGATCTGGTTGGTGCAGAGGCTCACGAGGAAGACTCTCTGTTGCCAACAATCATCTCTTGACTAGCATCACTAGCAGCACCTTAGCACCATCTGCTCAGGGTTCCTCTTCATCTATTAGCAAATCTGCTGATCTATTTGCAAATATCTCAGTGGAAAGGGCCTTTATTTTAACTCTATCAAAGAAAACAAGCCAACCTTGTGCTGTGCTGTTCCATTTTAGAATGAGGGAAGAAAAGCGTTCTCCGTATAAAACATATTTGGTTCCAGAGTAAGTGGCCCTAGATCAGGGGTCTTCAAACTTGTCCCTTTTATGACTTGTGGACTTCAACTCCCAGAATTCCTCAGCCAGGCACACTGGCTGAGGAATTCTGGGAGTTGAAGTCCACAAGTCATAAAAGGGCCAAGTTTGAAGACCCCTGCCCTAGATGAACTTTCCTCTTGACTTTCTTGTAGTGAGTTTGTAATGATAGCTCACTAAAGGGAAGGGCTCAAATATACCCAGTTGACTACTTGAAACATGAAATGATACGACCATGAACAGCATCTTCTTGCACCTTTACTCCTGGCGAGGAGCTAGATGAGGGGCTCTTAGGTTTCACACAACTATAAGTGCAAGGGGCAACTGGTCTTCTTAAAACTCCTGGGCAAAGTCCAGTGCTACTGTAAGTTATGAAAACTCCCGTATGGAAAAGAGATGACAGCTTGTTTGCCAAATGAGCAGAGCTAAGAAGGGGATTTATCCTCTGTTTAAAATTCAGGGGTAGTCAACCTTGGCTCTTTTATGACTCGTGGACTTCAATTCCCAGAATTCCTGAGCCAGCTTAGTTGAAGTCCAAGGTTGACTACCCCTGGTTTAAATGATCAGAGAAGAACGGCAAGGCTTGAGAGGCAAGTGGTAAGTACCGTACAGAAATTTTCAGTCTTATAATAGATTTGCTTGACGTTAACGCTACTTGACTAGATCCTTTTTTTTTTCTCTTGGATTCTCTTACCTCTGAGCGTTGTCATGAATCTTCTATTATTGTATTTACAGTATCGGACCCCAAACTTGAAAAAACGCAGCCTTTCATCAGGGGAAGCTATCAGGCAAGCTTACGGTAAGCCGAATGGATCCAAAATAAATTTAGAATTTAAACAAAAACATATGGCAAAAAGTTTGATAATATCTACCTGTGCGATGGTTCAAAACTTAAGAGAAGGCATTCCGAGCGTACCTATGGAAGTAAAAGGGAAAGTTTTGCATCATACTTTCCATAACAGCTTCTAGAAAAGAAAATAGGCCCACACCCATGGCTATAAATAATGTAGTGTTGACATTCTCTTCGCTCTTTACAAGTACAGAATCAGAAGCTTCTGGTTCTGAATAAAGATAATATTGGTAATAATGGATCCACCCCCTCCCGTTTTATAATATTGTTGAAGGGGATGTCAGATGTGGAGTTCAGTCTTATTTTGCAGAAAATATTATCCTAAGAAAATGCCTGGTTTTCTCTTATCCACTTCCTGCATTTCCTTTTAATTCTTCTTGGAACATGGGAAAAGAAAGGAAAGGAATTGGAAAGATACTAGATCTAGGACACACAAAGGATGATGTATGATAGCATATAACCTGTATACTGGCATTGCCTTGAAAGCAAACAAACAAAAATATTGCAGATCAGAAATCCTTTTAGACTTTCAAAAACCCAAATAACTCAAATTACACGACTTTTAGGAAGCTAAATTTTAAAGATTTTTTTTTTAAAGTTAATTTACTTGGGGGATCTGAAAGTTTTATTTGGGGATGATAAGAGTCCTCTCCCAAGAAAAGGTAAAGAGTGTGGTGTCTTCTCCCCCTGGAAATGGTAACCTGATTTTCCCAGTTTCTCTGCACAGTTAGATTTAGATTTTAAAGGGTTTTTTAAAAATCCTCTCTTAAGCTGCAGATGTGTGAGAGATAGTACAGAACTACGTGGGCATGGAATTAAAAAATTCATTTACGCCAGCTATCATGAATTTAGGCTATAAATATTAAGGCTGTGTGCACCTTGTATAATTAATACTGGGAGGGGGTGTTTGGATCTTATGTAGATACAGTACCTCCCTGGTTTTTTTGGGAAAGGTCCCTTACCTTATCCAGGTTTCTGCGCAAAGCTGGGGGAAAAAAGGGACTGCTGCTGTAGCAGATGGATTCCTTTTTTTTTTTTTTTTTTTTTGCTGGCCTTGAGGAAATTTTGTCACTCAGGTGACAATGAGGCACGTGACATTTTTTCCTGGGTCTCTGGATGACTTAAACTGAACCATGAATCTCAAATATCAGATGCAATAAGAATAATAGGGGCATCAGAATAAAGCTCATAGTGGCATTTTATATTAGATAATACAATTATTTAATAAATGCATTATTTCCTGAACTCCTGAGACAGACAAGAGTGCGACTGGATTTTTCTCTGTTTCTCTAGAGCATCTCTGCGACAGCGTTCCAGATCTCAATTGTCAAATATAGTCCCTGACCATCCAGTATCAATTGTAGGATCCTATTCGGAGCGCAACTGTAGCATTTCTCAGTATGAAGAAGATGGAAGACCATTTATCAAGGTCAGTCAGAGTCACTGCAAGACCAAAAGAAGCTTCTTTTATGTTCCTTTGTCTCTTCCCACCACATGACACCAGGCCTGGCCTCAGGGATACTTGTGTTGGGATTAAATGATTGCAAGTTATTCTCTTGGAGGCCTCCAACGAAGAATCTTTGGAAAACGCAATTGGTTCAAACGTAGCAATGGCAAGGTTGGTGAATGCACCAACACTGGAAGTTTTTAAGAAGAAACTGGACAGCCATTTGTCCGAAATGGTATAGGGTTTCCTGCCTGAGCAGGGGGTTGGACTAGATGACCTCCAAGATCCCTTCCAACTTTATCATTATTATTATTAAGGTTAGTGAGGATTACAGGTAGGGATGCAGTATTACACTGGTCCTGTAAGAGAAGCAATGACTACTAATTTGACTGCAAGCAAATTAAAGCAGGGGTCCCCAACTCCCGGGCCGCAGCACATTCAGAAATAATAATAATAATAATAATAATAATAATAATAATAATAATAATAATAATAATAATAATAATAATAATAATAATAATAATAATAATAATAATAATAATAATAATAAANACTGGTCCTGTAAGAGAAGCAATGACTACTAATTTGACTGCAAGCAAATTAAAGCAGGGGTCCCCAACTCCCGGGCCGCAGCACATTCAGAAATAATAATAATAATAATAATAATAATAATAATAATAATAATAATAATAATAATAATAATAATAATAATAATAATAATAATAATAATAATAATAATAATAATAATAAAGTTGGAAGGGACCTTGGAGGTCATCGAGTCCAACCCCCTGCTCAGGCAGGAAACCCTATACCATTTCGGATAGATGGCTGTCCAGTCTCTTCTTAAAAACTTCCAGTGTTGGAGCATTCACCGCTTCTGGAGGCAGGTTGTTCCACTGGTTAATTGTTCTAACTGTCAGGAAGCTTCTCCTTAGTTCTAGGTTGCTTCTCTCCTTGATTAGTTTCCATCCATTGCTTCTTGTCCTGCCTTCAGGCGCCTTGGAGAATAGCTTGACTCCCTCTTCTTTGTGGCAGCCCCTGAGATATTGGAACACTGCTATCATGTCCCCCCCTCATCCTTCTCTTCATTAAACTAGACATACGCAACTGGGCTGTGCGAAGGCTAGTGTGTGCATGCACACAGCTCCATTCACACGAGCAGTGCATGTGTGTACTTGCACTCCATTTGTGTGAATGGCGGATGCACACCTGCTGCTTGCACGAAACCCTCCCCTTTCCCCCCTAACAGTCCGCCAAGCTGGAAAGGTTGGGGACCACTGTCTTAAAGGCCTATAGTGGTGTAGGTCCAGATCAATTTGGGAAACAGCTTGCTCACAGCCTAAGATCCAATGGAGAGGCCCTTTCCTATGCCCCAGGTGGGTCAGAGGTTGGATGGTTGGTTGCACTTAAACAGAGGAATCCTCCTGCAAAAAGCCACCTTGACAACTTCACCTGGTTAGTAACACTGCAAAATGATTCCCTCGAAATCTAAAGACCTATAATGAGGCAGAGAGGTCTGCCGGTCCTGTGGCTTTCATAAAAATGATGAAAGTAGCATTGTGCTGCTATATCACATTCTCACCCTTTTATGCAGGTGCGTGGGGTATCACCCCACGTGTAGAAAAGAGGCAAAGATTTTGCATCGTAACGTTGCAAGCTGCTTTTCTCAGTTCCCCTCTCCTTTTGATTCTTCTTCCTGCAGAAAAATGGCAAGGGGGTCGGGAGTGGTGGAGAGCTGTTTGCTTTTGTCCTCTGGTAGCAACATTCTTGAACGCCAATATTTCTCTCTTTCCTTTTTTAAAAGGAAAGAATTCATGAAAAGGATGAGGAAGAAGTCATACCTGCTAACGTGACCAGGATTTTGAAGTACAACGCTCCCGAATGGCCCTATATGGTGCTTGGATCCCTTGGGGCAGCTGCCAATGGGGCGGTCAACCCTCTCTATGCCTTGCTCTTCAGTCAAATTCTTGGAGTAGGTCCTATGACCAATGTTGTTTGCCTTGTAATAAATGATATTGAGCATCCTATGTGGTGCAGGAAATGGTGTGCAATGCTGACATAGCAATTTCCTCTTTTATTTTGAATTGCTCTCTCTCTCTCTCTCTCTCTCTCTCTCTCTCTCTCTCTCTCTCTCTCTCTCNACTGGTCCTGTAAGAGAAGCAATGACTACTAATTTGACTGCAAGCAAATTAAAGCAGGGGTCCCCAACTCCCGGGCCGCAGCACATTCAGAAATAATAATAATAATAATAATAATAATAATAATAATAATAATAATAATAATAATAATAATAATAATAATAATAATAATAATAATAATAATAATAATAATAATAATAAAAAAAAAATTAAAAAAAATTTGGAAGGGACCTTGAAGGTCATCTAGTCCAACCCCCTGCTCAGGCAGGAAACCCTACACCATTTCAGACAAATGGCTGTCCAGTCTCTTCTTAAAAACTTCCAGTGTTGGAGCATTCACCACTTCTGGAGGCAGGTTGTTCCACTGGTTAATTGTTCTAACTGTCAGGAAGTTTCTCCTCAGTTCTAGGTTGCTTCTCTCCTTGATCAGTTTCCATCTGTTGCTTCTTGTCCTGCCTTCAGGCGCCTTGGAAAATAGCTTGACTTCCTCTTCTTTGTGGCAGCCCCTGAGATATTGGAACACTGCTGTCATGTCCCCCCTCGTCCTTCTCTTCGTTAAACTAGACATACGCAACTGGGCTGTGCGAAGGCTAGTGTGTGCATGCACACAGCTCCATTTACACGAGCAGTGCATGTGTGTACTTGCACTCCATTTGTGTGAATGGCGGATGCACACCTGCTGCTTGCACGAAACCCTCCCCTTTCCCCCCTAACAGTCCGCCAAGCTGGAAAGGTTGGGGACCACTGTCTTAAAGGTCTAAGTGGTGTAGGTCCAGATCAATTTGGGAAACAGCTTGCTCACAGCCTAAGATCCAATGGAGAGGCCCTTTCCTATGCCCCAGGTGGGTGAGAGGTTGGATGGTTGGTTGCACTTAAACAGAGGAATCCTCCTGCAAAAAGCCACCTTGACAACTTCACCTTGTTAGTAACACTGCAAAACGATTCCCTCGAAATCTAAAGACCTATAATGAGGCAGAGAGGTCTGCCGGTCCTGTGGCTTTCATAAAAATGATGAAAGTAGCATTGTGCTGCTATATCACATTCTCACCCTTTTATGCAGGTGCGTGGGGTATCACCCCACGTGTAGAAAAGAGGCAAAGATTTTGCATCATAACGTTGCAAGCTGCTTTTCTCAGTTCCCCTCTCCTTTTGATTCTTCTTCCTGCAGAAAAATGGCAAGGGGGTCGGGAGTGGTGGAGAGCTGTTTGCTTTTGTCCTCTAGTAGCAACATTCTTGAACGCCAATATTTCTCTCTTTCCTTTTTTAAAAGGAAAGAATTCATGAAAAGGATGAGGAAGAAGTCATACCTGCTAACGTGACCAGGATTTTGAAGTACAACGCTCCCGAATGGCCCTATATGGTGCTTGGATCCCTTGGGGCAGCTGCCAATGGGGCGGTCAACCCTCTCTATGCCTTGCTGTTCAGTCAAATTCTTGGAGTAGGTCCTATGACCAATGTTGTTTGCCTTGTAATAAATGATATTGAGCATCCTATGTGGTGCAGGAAATGGTGCGCAATGCTGACATAACAATTTCCTTTCTTTTATTTTGGAATTGCTCTCTCTCTCTCTCTCTCTCTCTCTCTCTCTCTCTCTCTCTCTCTCTCTCTCCCTCCCTCCCTCCCTCCCTCCCTCTCCCTCTCCCTCTCCCTCTTCCTCCCTCCCTCTTCCCCTCTCCCTCTCTTTAAGATTTCAGAAAATCTTCACAAGCCATTACTGGATGAATTCACACATCACTCTAAGCTATAAAGTGGTTTCTTCGGTTTGCCCTGCAGTTTGTAAATTGTGGCCCAGAGCTTAGGATGAAACTGGAATCTTGCCTAACATGTGGCTTATCTAAGAAGCCACCGTTTTAAAAATGTACTTTGATGCAATAGGAAAATCTAACCGCTGTGTTTGCATATAATCAAAGACATGTTCCGAAGACAAGTTTAAGACTGGTTCTCCAAGCAAGCCCTGTTATCCTACCAGCAGTATTCTAGGGAAAGAAGGAAAGGAAGATGTGACAGTTTCATTAATGAAGCTCAAGATCAGAAGAAGTCTTTGGAATGTAGCTGGCAATTCAAAATTCTGTGGAAAAGCCAATTGTGTATTCCTATCCGAAGGCTAGTTTTCCTGTCTGTTTTGCTTTCAGCACACAAGGAAATAATCTTACCTCTGATCTCAACATGATTTAGCGCTTTTTTAAAAAAAATCTCTCTGTACGAGGATGCTAGTTTTGGGGAGAGGCAAGGCATGCATGTGGCAACACTTGTATGATTATTGCTCCTAGCACTTCCTTTTTCCTTTAAAGCATTTGAAAGGGGGTATTAGACAGGGGATATTTATTTATTTTATTTCCCCGGTGAGTAAATGGGCAAGTGGGGAGTAAATGGGGAGTTAGGAGCACCGGTGGTGCAGTGGTTAGAATGCTGTATTGCAGGTTGACTCTGGCCACAGCCTGGAGTTTGATCCTGACCAGCTCAAGATTGACTCAGCCTTCCATCCGTCCGAGGTCAATAAAATGAGGACCCAGATTGTTGGGGGCAAAATGCTGACTTAGAGAGTGGTATATAAGTCTATTACTTTTGCCAAATGTCTCCACTTAATTTGATGAGGATTCAGGGACATACTGTATAGTTGCCAAAGAAAATATGGGGGGAAATAGGAAAATTGACCTGCTCGTCCTACTGGGTGTTTCTTTGAAGAATCATTAATGGGTGTGAGATTTTTAAAAGACTTATGACTTTTTGATTCTCTCTTTTTATTGCTACTGCTCTTTCTTACTCTTCTTCGGAGCTGGATGGCTTTATCTGACCCATCATTACTTTCTTTGCACTTACCTAGATTGCTGCCTTCTCAACACATGCATATTTCTTCTGATGTATTTCATAAGGAGTGGGGAGGTGCAGTGTTAGGTTTCCTGGAACTATACCACTAGTACAGTAAACTTTCGCTTTTAAAACTGGGTATTAAATGGGATAATACACTTTAAGAAAGGTGCCAACAAACTGGGAAGGGATCAGAGAGGGGCAACCAAGATAGTTACTAGCATGGAAGGAGCGTGGTGACTCATGTGGTTAGGATGCTGGGTTGGAGGTTAGCAAGCTCACGTTCGAGACCCAGGTGCTGGCCTGGATCAGGGTGAGCTCCCAACCTTTCCTCCAGCTCCTGCCAGGGACATGGAAGAAGCCCCCAACTGGGCGTTCCCCAGCAACGATGATATCAATGGCTAATCTTTTCAACCCGGAAGTAGTAGTAGTAGTAGTAGTAGTAGTAGTAATGATAATGATGATGATGATGATGATGATGATGATGATGAAGTTGGAAGGGACCTTGGAGGTCATCTAGTCCAACCCCCTGCTCAGGCAGGAAACCCTACACCATTTCAGACGAATGGCTGTCCAGTCTCTTCTTAAAAGCTTCCAGTGTTGGAGCATTCACCGCTTCTGGAAGCAGGTTAATTGTTCTAACTGTTAGGAAGTTTCTCCTTAATTCTAGGTTGCTTCTCCTTGATTAGTTTTCATCTGTTGCTTCCTGTCCTGCCTTCAGGTGCTTTGGAGAATAGCTTGACTCCCTCTTCTTTGTGGCAGTCTCTGAGATATTGGAACACTGCTATCATGTCCCCCCTCGTCCTTCTCTTCATTAAACTAGACATACCCAATTCCAGCAACCATTCCTTATATGTTTTAGTCTCCAGACCTCTAATCATCTTTGTTGCTCTCGGTGCCTCGGTGCTTCCGACGTGAGTGTGATGCGACTAGCATGGAAAACACTAATACGCAGATTCTGCTGTCTGATATTCATTCTTTACCCCTGATGATGTGAACAGCCCTGTTATGAACCATTTGAAATGCCACGCTGAAATAAACATGGATTAGCCTACACAAGCACGTGTTTTCCTGTACCCTTTGGCCTAAACACTCAACAAAAACTCATAGTGTGCTTTCAGTTACCTTGTGCAAAAACGTACGTTTATTCTTACAGCATTTCCTTTCCTTTCCCCAAGACCTTTTCTGTGCCTGATGAAGAAGAGCGAAGATCTCAGATCAACGGTGTCTGCTTGCTCTTCGTGGCTGTTGGAATCGCCTCGTTCTTCACCCAGTTCTTGCAGGTGATGACAACCAAATACTGCAGGCTTCTCAGCATGAGGGTGCCATTCCCTGGCTACTCTCTCTTCCCCCCCCCCCCCCCCCGTTTTCTTCTTTTTTGTACACGTGGACAGATGCTCAGATTTACGCTTGTTAACAATCTTTTGCAGGGGTATACTTTTGCAAAAGCTGGAGAATTGCTTACACGACGGTTAAGGAAAATTGGCTTCCAGGCTATGTTAGGCCAAGAAATTGGTTGGTTTGATGACCATAAAAACAGCCCAGGGGCCTTGACTACAAGACTAGCGACAGATGCCTCTCAAGTTCAAGGGGTAAGAGTTTTTAATTAATAGCCATTTCACAAATCATCCAATATGATTTGCTTCAAAATGAAGCAAAATAACAATTGCTACTGGCAAGTGTATATTTCAGTAATCTGATAAAGGAAGAGTGTACAATTTGAGTCCCTCCTGGGGCTGTGGACACAACCTCCAGCGTGGGTGCGAAATTCCCAATGATTTATAATTATTAATGTAATAAAACAAGAAACTTACGAGGTATTATTAATACATGGTATGCAGATATCTGAAGCATCTAAGGCCAACTTCTCATTGCAGTTGTAAATCTGTATCTTCATTACAGTCTTTTCATCAGCCAGTGGAAGGCTGGCATGATTTATTCTGGCTTATTTTATTAAACCTTTCTCTCTTGCTCTTCTGTTGCAAACGCCACTGCTCAAAGCAGCTTTATAACATTTAAAATTATGATTTCATCAAAACAATCATGTAAAACAGAGGTAGTCAACCTTGGCTCTTTTATGACTCGTGGACTTCAACTCCCAGAATTCCTGAGCCAGCTGTGCTGGCTCAGGAATTCTGGGAGTTGAAGTCCACGAGTCATAAAAGAGCCAAGGTTGACACTACCCCTGATGTAAAACAACGGAAGGAGACAAGGCTAGCCATTAAAACCCAGTGGTAAAATTATTATCTGCAAATCCAAGGGCACAAAGCAGTTTTCAAGAACTGGTGATAAAATGGATGAGGAAAAAAAAGATCAGCTGCAATTTTTGGAGCAATACTTTCTATAATATAAGGCCTTTGTCTTCGCTCATTCATTCACGCCCAGCTCCCTAAACCGGGGGTCCTCAACCTTGGCAACTTTAAGACTTGTGGACTTCAACTCCCACTGGCTGAGGAATTCTGGGAATTGAAGTCCACAAGTCTTAAAGTTGCCAAGGTTGAGGACTCCTGCCCTAAACGGTCTGTCTATTGCAGTGTTTCTCAAACTTGGCAACTTGAAGGTGTGTGGATTTCAGCTCTATTGAAGTCTACTGGAATGTATCCTCCCTGACAAGAGAACTTTACACACTGTATAAAAACACACACACTTTCCCTAGTCATCTATAGCACACACATAGGGAAGATCACATTTTCTCCTTTGAAGCTCCACTTCTGATCTGACATTGGGAGCAAGACATTCTGTTTACATCAGTAATTGTAAGACGCAAGGAACCAGAAAAATTCTGTAAGTAGACCAAAGTAGTTTCTTTATTGTTGACCACTTATTTATTTACAAGAGTCTTGCCAGACTAACTGTATTCTCTTGGGAATAGGCAGATAAAGGCTTCAAGAGTCTGGCCTCTGCCGCTTCCAAGCTAGATGACTTTTTTACTCTAGCTGGTGATTCCACCATTGTAAAGGTGACTTTGGACCAATTTTGTCTTTGCTACCCCTCTCGTCAGGTTACCACAAGTTGAGAAATCAAGAATAAAACAGACAAAGAATAAAAGTAGCAGTGACTAAGTTGTGGCCGATGGGCCTATTTTGCAGTTAGAAATATCAGAGATGGTCTGATATTTGTAAGAAAATAAAAAGAGCTGGCCATAGGTCGGATGGAAGTCATGAACTTTCATTCTTCCACAGTTTTCTGCTGATGGCGCCTCCATGCTCTTCGTGAGAGAATAAGGCTAGCGCAGGGGTAGGCAACCTTGGGTCTTTTATGACTTGTGGACTTCAACTCCCAGAATTCCTGAGCCAGCAGGAATTCTGGGAGTTGATGTCCACGAGTCATAAAAGACCCAAGGTTGCCTACCCCTGGGCTAGCCTAAGATACTCCGAGGCCCGAGAGGGCTGCCAAAATGGCTCACTCCTTTCCATGTAAAAAAATGGAATGACTTTCAACATGAGTGACTGAGGAACAGAACGGAGTAAGGCAGATGGTGGGACGTATACACACCTGTCCTGAAATATTGTGTTGCCTCTCTGAGCTCTCCAGTATCTGTTTCATGGAGCTAGCTTCGTTGGCGATTGACTGATTGATCTCCCTTCCCTCTCCTCCTTTCCTAGGCAACCGGCACCCAGATAGGAATGATTGTGAACTCCTTCACCAATATCGGAGTTTCCATCATCATCGCGTTCTACTTCAGCTGGAAACTCAGCTTAGTCATCACTTGCTTCTTGCCTTTCTTGGCTTTGTCGGGAATGGTGCAGTCGCGAATGCTGACAGGCTTTGCATCTCAGGACAAGAAAGCAATGGAAGCTACGGGAAGGGTAAAGGGCTTTATTTCTGTTTCACTCTTAAGACTGACCGAGATGATGAATAATTGCTCAAGCAATTGCCTTTGTTGGATAATTATATCTGTATCTATCTCTCCATATATACACATGCACAGAGCTTATTAAGCAGCAGAAACTTCCCAGCTGTTCCCATTTCTAGTGTTCGAAAGACGGCTCGCTCCTTAGAGAATCTGTAGCTTCAAAGTGTCCACTTCTAAACCTGAAAAGCACTTTTATTGTCAGGTGGGACAGATGTAAATGGCAGCTAAAAACTGGATTCAAGAATGGAGCCTCCCAAATCTTGTCATATGGGCTCCCCCCCCCACCCAATGGGAGGCCCTTGTCTGCTGGAAATATTGGATGTTCACTGATTTTAATTTCTGAATTTTAATTTCTGAAGGTATAGATACAAGTGGTCCTTGACTTAACGATCACAGTTAAGCCCAAAATCTCCTTTGCTAAGCGAGACAGTTGTTAAAGTGAGTTTTGCCCCATTTTACAACCTTTCTTGCCAAAGTGGAGTCCCTGCAAATTTTACTCAACTAGTTGTTGCCAACTATAAGGGGTGGGTGCTCATCTCTGTATCAAGGACATTGAGCCAGCACCATCTGAAGCAGTGGTTCTCAACCTTTTTAATGCCGCGACCCCAACCGGTCATAAGTCGAGGACTAAACCGGTCGTAAGTCGAGGACTAAACCAGTCGTAAGTCGAGGACTAAACCGGTCATAAGTCAAGGACTACCCAACCGGTCGTAAGTCGAGGACTTTCCCTGCCCGGGAGCGCCACACATGCATGGTTCCGCCCCCTGCGCCGGCCGAGGCGTAGCTGGCAAGCGGCAGAGACGGAGCAGGCCGACCACCAGCTAGCCCAGCCCAAGGGAGGTAAGGCACCCGCCGGAAAAGGGGAAAAAAATGGCGGACAAAAAAAATGGACAAAAAAAATGGCAGACAGCCTTGCTTGGCGACCCCCATGAAATGGTCGATCGACCCCAAATGGGGTCCCGACTCACAGGTTGAGAACCACTGAAGACATTTCTGTGTTCACGTGGCCAGGATGACATCACGGAGTGCCGTCACCTTCCCACCAAAGTGGTACCTATTGCAATTCTGGGAAAATAGGTTACGTAGCTGCCATAGGACTCTCACTTTCTCAAGGGGTTTCTTGTGCAAATGCATGTTGTTCTTTTTTTCCTCTTCCTAGAGGAGGCTAAAGGGCTAAGAGTTTCTTGTCCAGGATTTTGCTTCTTTTCTTTTAATACTGCATTAGATTGGTTCCAGCAAGTCTGCAACATCTGAGCAATAAAAGCAGACAGAAAAAGAGGATCACTAAATTGGGCAAAATGCCGTCTTTCCGCTCATCTATTTTTTATTCATTTTTAATAGCATTACAATTAACATTTATTGAGAAAACAGTTATTCATTGTAATGTTATATATAAATGAGATAGTTTTATAACGATATAATTTCCCACCTGTCCCCGATGTGTTCCTGATAAAGATGATCTCCTCACCAACGTACAATATTAGCAACAGAGGTAAAACGAGTTTCTGAACCGGACAGCTTCTAAAACTTTTGAAATTTAAGGGCTAATCTATTAATTTTTAATTTTATTTATTTATCATATTTAGAAACCATCTATCTCCCTTACAGAGAGACCCTGGGTGGGGTACAAATGTTAAAAACATACAAACTGAATACAACAATTTAAAATAGGGCAAGAATAGTTAAGGAGGTAGCTTATAAATTCAAACTAGTTTGAGACACTTTTCTGCCAAGGTCCCCATCTAGGAAATCCTGAGAAATATGATGATTTTGTCGCAAATTGTGCCACTAGATAACTTCATTCATGCACTCCTCGTGCTGGAAAGCAATAGCAATAGCACTTAGACTTATATACCGCTTCACAGTGCCTTCCAGCCCTCTCTAAGCAGTTTAAAGAGTCAGCATATGCCCCCCCCAACAATCTGGATCCTCATTTTACTGACCTTGGAAGGATGGAAAGCTGAATCAACTTTGAGCCGGTGAGAATCGAACTGCCAAATCGCTGACAGCCGGCAGTCAGCAGAAGTAGCCTGCAGTACTGCCTTCTAACCACTGCGCCACCAGAGCTCTAGCAGTTGGGAATAATCCCATGTTGTTAAGAAAGGCAGAGAATAGAATTATTTTCAAACTACAGGTGACCCTTGACTTATAACCATTTGTTTATTGATCATTTGAAGTTACGAGGGCACTGAAAAAAGAAACTTGTAATTGGTTTTCACACTTATGGCTGTTTGCAGCATCCCCAGAGTCACGTGACCAAATTCAGGCCCTTGGCAACTGGCGCTTTTTCCTGTCATGGGATCACAAACTGTAACCTTCCCAGCTGTCTCCCAACAAGCAAAGTCAATGGGGGAAGTCAGGTTTTCTTAACGGCCGCTTGATTCCCTTAAAAACTGCACTGATTTGCTTAACAACTGTGGCAAAAAGGTCGTAAAATGGGTCCAAACTCACTTAGCTGCTGCCCTGCTTAGCACAGAAATTTTGGTCCTAATTGTTGTCGTGAGTGAATTGAGGACTATCTATACAGGTATATTCCTAGATGTAGGAACACGAACCATCGCTCAACTTCATAAGGATGCAAAAAAAAAGAAGAAGTCTTGACTACCATAAGATCTGAATTAATTTCATTTCCGTCCCTGCTCCTTCCTCCTGTTAACTCTGTGATGGGATACAATTTTAAAAACTGTATTCTGAATTCCGAAGGATATATTTGTTCTCAGACAAATTCAGTACCCAGCCAGACTTCTGGGAAATGGCTGCTTAACTTGCGTTCAGTTTATTGAACTTCAGCATGAGACAAAGAAGGAAAGGGGTTTGCAGAGCACCTTTACGAGCCTGGGTCCTCGTTGAGAGGTTCTGAAAATGCAAATGATATAAAAACAACACCTTCGTGATCCTGAAAGAGCCTGGCTAATGCTAACAACCTGAGCACAGAACGAATAGGGCGAGTCAGCCACAGCTTGACAGGGTTATTCGGGGATAAACAAGGTATACCTGTAATGCGGGACAGCCTGAACCTTACCCAGATGAAATAATTCATGCCACATACCATCAATTACAATAATAGTCTTGCCCCAGACAGGACAACTCATCTCTAGAATAATTATAGTTCTTGGATTAACACCCTGTTAAGCCTTCATTCAGTTCTGGCTACAGCTGGAAAGTAGGTCAGGTCTCTCCTTAGGAGGCCAACCAATGAAGGGCAGAGGATCAGAATCAGAAATCAGGGTTTAGGAGAAGCAGAGCATTTAGGGCAAAGCCATCCCAAGCCATCCCCATGTCTATTCAGTAACATAGTTCCTCAATCTGAGGAAATGACAAGTGCGTTGGAATCCCAACAAACGTGTTATGGAGAATATTCTCCTGAACAGTAATATAATTTAAATGTGAGTTTGGCTGAAGTTAAATACAGGGTTTCCCCACCTCTGAACTTGTCCACTAGTTTGACCTAAGGTTACCTACTTTTTAGAGTGATCCTCAAACATTATTTGGAAGGAAGGAAGGAAGGAAGGGAGGGAGGGAGGGAGGGAGGGAGGGAGAAAAAGAAAGAGAGAAGAAGCAAGGAAGGAAGGAAGGAAGGAAGGAAGGGAGGGAGGGAGGGAGAGAGGGAGAGAGAGAGAGAGAGAGAGAGAGAGAGAGAGGGAAAGAAAGAAAGAAAGAAAGAAAGAAAGAAAGAAAGAAAGAAAGAAAGAAAGAAAGAAAGAAAGAAAGAAAGAAAGAAAGAAAGAAAGAATCTCCATTATCCTTTGAGCTTAGCAGCCATCATAAACAATCAGGGCTTATTCTTCCAGAGTTGTTAAGAGGCAGATTCTTGGTGACAAAGGAACAATAAATTAATCAGTATTTAGTCTAGTGTTCTATGGAAACCATCTCATCCTGTTGTGCATGATTTACTGTCTGCTTTGGATTTGCCAATTCCTACTTCAGATGTCATGGAACCCTCGCTTTAATATGTGAAAATCACAAGTCTGTAGTTCTCTAAAGTGAAATGTCTGTACAATAATTGATAAACCTTTGTATAATCCTTAACAGATTTTTCTTTTTCTTTGGGAATCAGATATCCAATGAAGCCCTTGCAAATATTAGGACCATTGCTGGAATCGGAAAGGAGAAAATTTTTATCGATGCTTATGAGAAACAGCTAGAAGTCCCTTACAAAGCAGCTATTAAAAAAGCAAATGTTTACGGAGTTTGTTTTGGCTTTGCACAGTGTATTTTGTTCGTAGCCAATTCTGTCTCTTACCGATACGGAGGATTTTTAGTTGAAAAGGAAGGACTTCACTACAGTTACGTATTTAGGTAAGAACACCCCTACATAGATGTCATTTCTTTAAATACCACGGAATCTATGAATTCTCATATTGTTACAGGCAAATATCTGACTGTGAAAGCTAAACAATGTTCAAAAGGATGCAGAGGGGAGGTTATAAAATATTGTGATAACTAAATAATTTCCCTCACAATATTAAGTACTTGCTTTAAAATCAAATTCTGGAGACTAGGCAGAAATAAGGGGCTCTAATTTTTATACCTTGCTTGTCAGCTTCTCAAGCCCAGCTTGCTGATCCTGGATGGAAACCTAACCAGAGATTTTCCAACTGATTCAACAAAGCTTTTTTTTTTTTTTTAAGTAAGTGCCCTGCAAACCAAAACATGTCTTTCCCAATTTCAGGGTGATTTCCTGCATTGTTACTAGTGGAACCGCTTTGGGAAGAGCATCTTCTTATACTCCAAATTATGCCAAGGCTAAAATAGCAGCCGCCCGTTTTTTTCAGCTGGTGGATCGGATTCCCCGAATCAGTACGTACAGTGACGTTGGAGAAAAATGGGTAAGAAAATAATGGCTGTTATTTGAATCACATAATTGTAGGCTTGGAGAGATCCAAAGGTCAGACAGTCCTCTGCCGCCCTCAAGCAAACTAGATTACAGTGTGCGGCGTGCCAGGAAACTATGGGAAAAGATCAAAAGTGTCCTGGTATTCTGGTGGGCACAATGTGAGCTCAGTGTTGAGCAAATAATACATATTTAAGACAATAGGAAGAGGCACTCTGGTGCCAAGGCTGGAAGGTGTAATATTTGCTCTTAAACACTGTGATTGTGGCTTGACTCTTTTTGTCCTGTTCTTTATATCCCCAAAAGATATAATATCCATAGAGAACTGCTTGGTGTAGTACCATGTTTTCCTCAAAATAAGACCGGGTCTTATATTAATTTTTGCTCCAAAAGATGCATTAAAAGCTTATTTTCCAGTTAGGTCTTATATTCGGGGAAACACGGTACTAAATGCGTCCGTCTGGCTGATGATCTTAACTGGGGCTTATTTTGGGGGTGGGGCTTATATTATGAGCATCCTGAAAAATCATGCTAGGGCAGTGGTTCTCAACCTTTTTAATGCCGCGACCCCCAACCGGTCATAAGTCGAGGACTAAACCGGTCGTAAGTCGAGGACTAAACCGGTCGTAAGTCGAGGACTAAACCGGTCGTAAGTCGAGGACTACCCAGCCGGTCGTAAGTCAAGGACTTTCCCTGCTCGGGAGCACCACACATGCGAGGTTCCGCCCCCTGTGCCGGCCGAGGCATAGCTGGCAAGCGGCAGAGACAGAGCAGGCCGACCACCAGCTGGCCCAGCTCAAGGGAGGTAAGGCACCCGCCGGAAAAGGGGGGGAAAAAATGGTGGACAGCCTTGCTTGGCGACCCCCGTGAAATGCTCGATCGACCCCAAATGGGGTCACGACCCATAGGTTGAGAACCGCTGTGCTAGGGCTTATTTTCTTGTTGGGTCTTATTTTGGGGAAGAACAGGTAGCTAAAGTGCTAGATTAGGAGCAGGAAGAGTCAACGTCTAATGTACCCTTGGGCACAGAAACCAGCTGGGTGATCCTGGGGCAGGCATTGTGTCTCAAACCTGGATGGAGAAGTCAAAAAACATCTATCCATCAATTTGCATTGGAAAAGTATGGTAGATTAAGGTCCATAACTTTGATTCATGGGCTGATAATAATAGCCAGGGTGAGTGATAATGTTTTTCAAGTTCTGGATTATGTTTGCCTGTCTGGTCCTTTATCAAAATCTGCCAAGCGGTCCCCAATTTTATTCTAGTCCTCCAGTTAGAGAACTTCTTTAAGTCACTTTTAGATGGAATTGTTCTCAAAATACCTAATGAATTCATGCCACAATTATAGTCAACAAGGAAACCAACCTACCAATGTTGTACACAACAAATAAAACCAGAATTGACAGGTACAGGTGGTCCTCAGTTAACAACCGTTCTGTTTAGTGACCATTCAAACTTAACAATCATGCTGGAAAAAGTAGTTTTACGATCAGTCCTTGAACTTACGGCCGTTGCAGCATCCCTGTGGTCATGTGATCAAAATTCAGGCGCTTCCCAATTGGTGCACATTTATGATGGTTACAGCATCCCACAGTTACACGATCACTGTTTGCAACCTTCACAGCCGGCTTCTGACAAGTAAAGTCATTGTGAAAGTCAGGCGGGAAGTCACAAGCGGTGGTCACATGATGTTAAATGATTCGCTTAATGGCTGCATCAGAACTGATCTTGTAAATTGAGCACGGTCACGTGATATTTCACTTAATGATTGAATTGCTTGGTGATGGAGTTGCTCATCTCAATTGCAGTCAGTAAATTAGGATGGCCTGTACCAAAAATAGCAAATAAACCTAAATATGTACTGTACAAGCTTCCTTGTTTTGTAAGCCAGGATTATAGATTTCCTTTCAGTTACTCTTCATCAGTGGAGAAAGAAGGGGTAGCTATGCTTCCACTAACCCTCGTAATCCAGTAAGTCTGCCAGAAACAATGTTGTTGTCCTTGTGCCTTTGCCTGGAAGTACTTGCAGAGTTAGCCTCCCAGTTTAGTTGCCCCATCAGCAAAATGGAGAGCGATCTAGAGGGCAGAAACAGTTATTTCCCTCTATTAACCCCCCACTCACCATTAAAGCAGTCTCAGGGGATGGGAGTTTTCTGTGCTCCACTTTCAAAGTGCACTTTTCCTTTTTTAATACTGGAAGTTTTTAAGAAGAGATTGGACAATCATTTGTCTGAAATGGTATAGGGTTTGCTGCCTGAGCAGGGGGCTGGACTAGAAGATCTCCAATGTCCCTTCCAACTCAGCTATTCTATTCTATTCTATTCTATTCTAGTCTAGTCTAGTCTAGTCTAGTCTAGTCTAGTCTAGTCTAGTCTAGTCTAGTCTAGTCTATAGTCTAGTCTATAGTCTAGTCTAGTCTAGTCTGGTCTAGTCTAATTGTTCTGTTCCACTCCTTTCCACTCCTTCTACTCTACCCTACCCTACCCTACCCTACTCTATTCTTGTTACATTGCCTTGAATGCCCTGGGTTTGAGCACTTCAGTCAGTTACAGGCTAACCCCAGCAGTTCATTGTGTATTTCACAGCAGAAGGACACCCCTCGACACACACACACACTCACAAGGTTCAGCTGAACCAATGCTTACCATGCTCCATAGATCATTTTCACAGCTGCCTTTTTACTGTAAACATTATAATGAACGCCAGCAGTAATTATTCCTGTAAGGGTTAGGGTTTCCTAAACTGTGAGATGCACCTCCCTTGGGTTGTATAGTGCTACAATAAATTCACATTTCCCAATGTTTCATTGTCTTATTTTCATAGTTCATTTGTGCTCATTTGGGGCTTTGAATTAAAATGACGCTAAAGGGAGGTGTGGTGGCAAACCGTTTAGGAAACACTGCTCTAAAAGACAATGAAAACAAGGCAGCAAGCATTTTATTAAAAAGTGTTTTGTTGTGTCTCCAAGTATAACATTTTGATGCTTTAATACACACACACACATTTGTACATGTATATATAACTTGCACATTTACATCCACCCATATTGAGCCATGATAAACGTATTAAAGTATGTATATTCAAGAAGATCTGTGCATAGGAAGGAAAGCGATTGGCCGTGGTTCTCCAGAAACCAAAAGGTGGGAGGGTCCAGCAGTAGTAAATTGACCAATGGGAAGTAACATAGTCTATCTTGTGAATTTTTGCCAGAGTATATCAGTCAAGACAGAATATGCTTAAATTGGCTTTGATTCAAGCCAGCATGAGACCAGGAAAGGAATAATTTAAATAATAAAATGCAGATAAGCAGTATAACTCACTGTACACTGGAGAATCCTCTGTTTAAAGACATTGGCCAGTGGGATTTGTTTGAAATGTTTTGACCTCGGGCAAAACGATAAACTTCAAAATTCTAGTGCAAATCGTAATATTACACTGTGGATTCATTCAACTCTTGCAGCTCTTAGACAGTTGTAAATGAAGCATTCGTTTAATATTTATATACTTTCAATACTGATTAGTGATTCCATGCTTTCAGTATTGTCTACAAAAGGAAAAAGACAGTTGCCAATGGTGACAAAATATATTTTTTAAAATTTAAATCTCATGCATTATACTGGTTGTCCCTGAATCTGCTCATCTCTTGCCCTTTCGTTGAAGTTGTTCCACTTTTAACTTTCTTTGAAGGTTTGTTAGAGTAGCAAGAAATACAGCAAAGTGCAAATCAGATTAAAATATTGTTGTCCTTTTTTTTCTTCTCTTCTTTTCACAAAACATTAACTTTTTACAAATGAAAATGAAATAGGAGAACTTTGCCCTGTGCTGAACGCAAATGGATTTCAGTTTTATCCACTTCCAGTTGATTGATTTAAAGAGAGACCTGTGACAGTTTCGGGAACTACAGAAATGATCATCATTAGCTTCCTAAGAGTCATTTGCAAATTCTGAAGCAGGATTTTCTTTTTGCTGTTGTATATTCAGGATAATTTCCATGGCAGAATTGAATTTCTCAACTGTAAGTTCACATATCCATCTCGTCCGGATACCCAAGTGTTAAATGGCCTCACGGTGTCTGTGAAATCCGGGCAGACCCTTGCCTTCGTTGGAAGCAGCGGATGTGGAAAAAGCACCTGTGTTCAACTTCTGGAGAGGTTTTATGATGCCGATGAAGGAAAAGTGGTAAATAGCTTTTGTTGCTTTGATAACATAAAAGTATTAATCACTAAATTTGCAATTTGGTCTTCATATATCAGTGTTTTTCAACCTTGGCAACTTTAAGACATGTGGACTTCAGCTCCCAGAGTTCCCCAGCCAGCTTGGGAATTCCAGGAGTTGAAGTCCACATGTCTTAAAAGTTGCCAAGGTTGAGAAACACCACTCTGCAGATTTAACAGCCCCCCCTTTTTTTTCAAAAAAAGGCATCTTTGAAATCAAGCTTAATTCCTTGTAAATACACATTCCCATCAATTAACTTCTCAGTCCAGTTTTCTTTGTGACAATCCAGACGTGTAAATAAATTTATAAATAATAAATGAATAATTTATCTGTTTCATATAGATGCCTATTTCATTTTTAGTGATTCTAGGTAGCCTGCAGTAAAACAAATAAAATACATAAAATACACAGCATAAAAGAGTAAATAAAAATAAACCATGCAGTAACCAGGTGTAAAATAAGCAAAGAAAGGAGTATTATGTATGTTCAACCCCTTGAGTTACTTATAAAATAATAAAGGCATGATAAAAATCAAATCAATCAAAAAAAATAGAACCAATCACTCACACATCCAGGAAATTGTGGGTCTGTGCCATGCCCTGAGCCCCAGACTTAGGCACAAAGCCACATTTTCAAGGCCTTACAATAAGCCAACAGAGACGGACCCAATCTAATCTCTTTCCTTCTGGGCTCCGCCATCCAACACTCCCCTAGCACATGGTACCCAAAGCATATCCTTTGTGTCAGATTGGGTGGACACAATTGGGGAGAGATGGTCCCATAAGTAACCCAGTCCTTTGTTTTGTTTTGTTTTCTGTTTTGCTTTTGTTTTTTTTCAACTTCTCACTATACAATCCTGATATTTCCCGATGATTTTCCATCCAAGCACTAAGTAGGTCTAACTCTTTGAAGTCAGACAAGATCAGACAGGATGGGCGAGATTTGATGTGGGAAGGTGGACTGCATAGAATAGATTTCACATGTCAATATTTTGCTGCAGGTTTTGCTTGTTCCACATATATCATGGAGGTAAATTCAGCTGAGGCCTTCAAATCTTTAATTCCAGAATTAGACCTGGGTGTCTGCAGGGGGCAAACTGTAAAACATATGTATGCATGCATGCATGCAAAGGGTAGTGTTGTGTCACGTCGCTCATTTTATCGTTCTGACAAAACCCTGAGATTCTGCAGAACTCTTAGCTTGCAAATGTATTTTTTACTGATAACACCCATGCAATTATCCACACAAATTGTGGTATTTAAATTTCACATGTATCAGCAAATACAAGCAAAGGTTTGAAGAAGAAATTTTAATTTTGTACCAAAGACGTTCTGTATGTTTTTGTGTTTTTGATGTACAGCTGATAGATGGCCGTGACACCCGGAAAATAAACATCCACTTTCTTAGATCTAGAATAGGAATAGTTTCTCAGGAACCTGTGCTGTTTGACTGTAGTATTGGCGACAACATTAAATATGGTGATAACAGCAGAGAAATATCTATGGATGAAGTGATAACAGCTGCCAAGAAAGCCCAATTGCATGAATTTGTGATGTCACTCCCCCAAGTGAGTACCATTTTTAAAATGCTATGTTATAGAAAGAAGAACTGGTCTGAACATTCTCTTCACTGCCGATTTAACATATTCTCAATACTTCTGCGTCACAGTAATGTTTTGAGTAGTTAGCCCTCTGCTTTCATTCCTTCTTTTGTGAATTGTTTGGCTTTCTCACCTTTGATAGATCTATGATAGTCTAATTTACAGTTCCAATTCGTTTTGCTCACTTCTTTAGATCCAGGAAATCCCTTGAGAATACAGTATCTGCAGGATCTCTTGCTTGTTTCCTAATTGATCCACCACTGGAAAGAGGACTAAAAAAGAAAATTCCAGGCACTGAATCACAAGTTCCAAAAATGTATTCTCAGAACTATGAAAGAGTTGTTACATTCCAACTGCATTCCTTAATCATCAGTCTTTTGAAGTGTGTTCATGAAGAGTAGGAAGCCACACTCTTAGCTTAATCTCTCACAGGGTTGTTGTGAGGGTAATATGGGAATCGAAATCCTGTCTCCTGCCTGTTGTGATTGGTGGGATAAAAATGTCATGTTAATAAAGCAAAGGAGCCCTCTGGCTGGCCAGAATCTACAGCTAGGTGCCTTTGTGATGGTTTCCCATTGAAGTATTAACCAGGAAAAACTCTGCTTAGCTTTTGACCTCAGTCAAGGCCAAGTTGTGAATAGTTCAGTCTATCGTACAGCCCTGGAGTCTCCTGGTGGTCTCCCATCCAAGCAGCAACCAGACCTGACTTACTTCACTGTTTCCAAAATCAGCTAGCTGCTGTCACTGGCTGTGACTATAGAGCAGGGGTGTCAAACTGCCGGCCTGCGGGCCGGTTTCATCATACCGGAGCCGCGCCCACCCCATTGCCGGCAACGGCGAAAAAGCTCCGATACGTTGCGCGACGTCACATGACGTCGCACGTTTGACATGTCTGCTATAGAGCCTTTTGGACAACTTTTACCCTGATTAAGCTAAAGCTCATTCTATCTAATAATATAAGTTCATGCATTTTCTAAAAATCACTCGGTAACTTTCCATGGCTTACTTATAAAGCATTCAACTAAAAATGGCCATTTTCAATACAAAAATTAACACAGGCTTACGGTAATAATAACATACGGTATTTTTCTGGTTTGCTTCTTAATTGAAGGTTCCCCCGCCCATAAAATAAAAGAACGTTAGAATAAAAGCAACGAAGTAGCTTCATTTTCTCACCACACTAATTGTATTTTTGTTCTTATGGTAAACAAAGTCAGTGAGCCAATAAATATTGGAGGGTATTTTTTTTTGCAGAAATATGAAACCAATGTTGGGGCTCAGGGGTCTCTCCTGTCGCGAGGGCAAAAGCAGCGCATTGCCATTGCGCGTGCGATCGTTCGAGACCCTAAGATCTTATTACTGGATGAAGCAACTTCTGCACTGGATACAGAAAGTGAACAGGTAAACAGCAATGAATAAACAATAAACAGCATTTATTCATTAGATTTTGTTTTTAAATGCCCACCTTTATAAGTAACTCAAGCTGGAGAACATATATAATATACTCCTTCCTCCTCTGTGAGGTGGGTGGGCTGAGAGGGACTGGCCCAAAGTCTGGATTTCATGCCTAAGGTGGGACTAGAACTCACCGTCTCCTGATTTCTAGGCTAGCACTTCTTCCATTCACCACTATACCAAACTGGCTCTAAAATAATGTTATGCTTTCGGATATCAGATAATTAAAAGAAAACATATTTGATGGAGCATTGAGAATATACATTAAATGCAATCACTTGGTGTTGAGTTCAAAAGGAACTTAGTCTCAAATAAGTGAATATAAAATCTCAGCCTTAAAGGAGGGAAAGAAAGGATGTACTCATTTCAGTGTTATTTGGAGGCTGTTGTGGGATATAACAATTTAAAAGGGCTGTAAATTGTAACTGAGTCTGAATGCACCTGTGCAGTGGGTAAAGTATAGTACAATACACTCATTGTACAGAGTCACTGCTGGGAAGGTAGTTGAAGCAAAGTAAAAAAGGCAACTTTGTTGGCAACTTTGTTGGCAACTTACCAACAGGGCCCTCTGCTGTTACAGATAGCATTGAATTCAAGAAATTCCCCCAACTGCAAACTTAGGCTGCCTTCATACGACACACTGAATGGCCACCATATAACTAGCTCACTTTCTGCGTAGCGTAGTGAGAATTCAATGTATGGAACCAACACAGCAACATATAGGTGGCTTCTTCCAAATCCATCAGAGCCGGCTTTGCCCTTTGATGACAGTAGCAATAAATGATTGTCTACCTCTCTGGAAAAAAAAATAGTACAGTTGGGACCCTTGCAGGCTTCCACTACTGTAAAGAAGGCAAGTGCCAAAGGCCGTGTTTCCAGAGTCATATTGCAACTATATCGTGAAATTATTCAAGCATAACTTTTATTAGTTGCCTGAGTGAAGACCTTATTGATGGATTTGCCCTTGGAATATATTGCAGTTTGTTGCATCTCTGCCAGGTTGCTCCATCTTAGCCATATTTTGATCCATCTGATGATGCTTCCATCTTAGCCATATTTTGATCCATCTGATGATGCTTAAGTATCTCTGTTGTTACCCATATTCCAAAATGGATGGCCTCTGAATGCCTTCTAGTCTACCAAGAAGCTAAGGGGACTGTTGAGATCCAGGGAAGATTTGAGAAATGATAGGACAGCAACTTACCACTGCATGTCCTGTTTTCCCAACTTTTCTGAACTGCTGGGAGTATTACAGCTCTTAGGAGCAGAGTTCACTGATACTTGTCCCTGGCAACTTGCACACTGAATTCATGGAAGGGGAAGCAGATTTGCCATGCTTGTGAGTTACTGCTTAACCCCGCAGAGCCCAGTTAGGTACCTTCCACATGCTCCATGGAGACTGGAGTTGTGGACAGTAGGAGCTCTTCTGTTCTCCTCCTCCTCTTTGAATCCACTGAATGTTTGAGGAGGGTTTCGATACAACTAAGTTTTGTTGATCAATGCCTTTCCCAAAACAAAGTGACCTAAAGAGGCCAATTGGCTATGTTCGTATTACTATAACTTGTTATGATGACCCTGTAAAGAATCCTTCTCTTTCTCTCTTCTCCCTTCAGACTGTGCAGGCTGCCCTGGACAAAGCTCGAGAAGGCAGGACCTGCATCGTCATTGCGCACCGCTTGTCCACCATTCAGAATTCTGACATCATCGCTGTCATGGCTCAGGGAGTCATCATTGAGAAGGGCCCTCACCAGCAACTGATGGCCCAGGAGGGGGCATACTATAAACTGGTCACCACTGGGGCACCCATTAGCTGAGCTTCTGCCCTCCCTGTGGGGGTTGTGTTCACCTTCTTAAGGGATTGTGCTAAAACCATTATGAACATATCAACCAGCCTTGTGTGGCAAAAGACGACGATGCACCTATGTTGGGAAAACCACTTTAACTGAGAAAGGGAAGCCCAGCTTTTGACTGAGGCCAGCTTTTGACTGAGCTGTTCTCTCAAACCACTGCAACTGTGGTTTCTGAAGAAAATGGCAGCCATCTACTGGAGAAGGAAGATTATGCGGGAAGAGTGCTCAGAAACCTTTTCAATAATTAAGTGTCCATAGATTATTTTTATATCTATTTCTGTTGCTCCTGAATTGGCAATATCAAAAAAAGCCTAATGAACTTCATTGTGGATCCAGAGGGAGGCTCCAATCAGCATTCAATGCAAATAGTTGCATTGAGCTTTATTGTCTACTGCCCCATCATCATCATCATCATCATCATCATCATCATCATCATCATCATCATCTTCAATTTAACTTATATACTGCTTGACTCTCAGTGATTCTGGGTGGCTCATAACAATCAATGAAATCACAATGAAATCAATAAAAATGACAAAATTAAGATAAAAGATGGCAAGAGTGATGAAGTGAGGGATCTCACTCTCCCTTGCCAAAGGCCTGGGTGAAAAGCCTGATCTTCCCAGCTTCTAAACAACAGTAGAGTTGGGGGGGCCACCCACATCTTGGGGAACCCTCGTTTCAGAGGGCAGGTGCTGCAACAGAGAAGGACGTATTCAGCATTATGATGGGGAAATACCAGACACAGATTCTTACATCCATAAAAAAGCAATATTGAAACCTGCCTCTGCGTATCTCTAGAGACTCCCTTACGTATACAATGTCTTCTGTGTATAATGGTTCTCTATGCAGTGTTAAAAGCACTTTGGCCAGATTACAAAATACAATTATTCTATTCCCTGCCAGTGAGACTATTAGCCATTGCAATTTCCCAAAGGGTCGTCATTTCTTTTGCACAAAAAAATGAGCTCTTTACAAAATAATACATTTATTAATGAATATTCCTGTCCACTAACCCAGCACCTACAGTAAATCGACTGAATGCATCTCGCAGATGAGTGTCCCATTAAAGGATATTTGATAGAGAAGGCCTGATTACTATGCAAAGGACAGAAACAAACAATAGCAGGAAAAAGAATAAAAACTCGGAGAATTAAACAGCAATGCGGCCCTGCTACTTTTAACTTGCACACAGCAATTCAGCAGGAGATTAAATCATGCTTGAGAAATAGTGTAAGCAGGTGGTAAAGGCTGTTATTAAATCAAGCAATTGTACTTTATTGAACCCTTTTATCTAAAGCAGCTGAATCTAGTTTGTCAGTGGATTCCTAAGGGACCTTTTGCAGTCTTGCTGTCTTACATCCTTCAACAGGAGATCCTTATGAACCAGACCAGAACCATTTACACAAAGAACTTTCATTCTACTGCTGGGAACTCATTCTGTAGTGTAGTGGCTGAAGCTTCTTTGTCAAAGTCCCCTTATCTCAAAGCAGAATGGGACAACTCGCCACGGCTAACTTGCCGTGGGACCACTCACTGCGGGTCAATTCAATTTATAATTATTTAAAATAATTTAAAAAATATTTTAATTTTTGTCATTCACACTTCATTTTGCCCCTTCTTTTGCATCCTTTCTTTAATGGTTCTGTGCCACTATTTCTTCAATATTAGGGTAAATCTTGTTCCATGACAGGTTGTTCTGCAGCGAGTTGGCCAGGGCGAGTTGCTCTAAACCCATCACAAAGCCATGCTCCGTGCTAAAGCCTGTACCTGTGTCGCCCCATAAACCAGAGGAAAACTGGAAATCCATAGGGTTGTTTCTCTCGGTACTGCAGAAACTGGAATCTTGTAAATCAGTGGTTCTCAACCTTTTTAATGCCGCGACCCCCAACCGGTTGTAAGTCGAGGACTAAACCGGTTGTAAGTCGAGGACTAAACCGGTCGTAAGTCGAGGACTACCCAACCGGTTGTAAGTCGAGGACTTTCCCTGCCCGGGAGCGCCACGCATGCGTAGTTCCGCCCCCTGCGCCGGCCAAGGCGTAGCTGGCAAGCGGCAGAGACGGAGCAGGCCGACCACCAGCTGGCCCAGCTCAAGGGAGGTAAGGCACCCGCCGGAAAAGGGGGAAAAAATGGCGGACAGTCTTGCTTGGTGACCCCCGTGAAATGGTCGATCGACCCCAAATGGGGTCGCAACCCATAGGTTGAGAACCGCTGCTGTAAATAAAGGGGATTGAAAAAAACTGATTAAAGGCAAATACTCCTTGGAGGTGAGGAAGGTGGCTTGTTCATGGAATGCCTAAAAGTTAAACAATAAAATAAGCAGTGGCTCAAGCTATGAAAATCTAACATTCAGGAGCTGTTGTGATATGAGGACAGAGAGGCAAAGACACAACCAAGGTCAAGGAAAGCGTCCTTTTCAATTGACCATTTATCTAACTGGCTCCCTCAATACTAATTTCGGTTTTGATTTAAACAGGCAATGATACAGTTCCCACCTCTGTATCTTCCTCCAGCTATGAGCCTTTTAGCACCTAATGCTGCTGTTTTTTGTTTGATTGTTCCTTGTAGAGCTGCCCTATGGATATTTTTGTCCCAAAGTCTTCCTGTTCCCCCTTTTGCTGCCCTGGCCAAATGACTAGATATTATAGCAAAATGTCAGACAGTGTTCATCCAATTGTTTGATGGAACTTTATTCTCCTGGTAACCAGTGTGTAAAGTGTATGTTTGTGTATATGTTTTTATGTCAGTGTTTGATTTCTGGCATCTTCCTGGCCAACTCCCTGCAGTTTGCTTGGCAAGGTTTCAGGAGTTGTTTGTCATTGCCTCCTTCCTAAGGCACAGAGGGAGGGACTGGCTCAAGATTACCCAGATGGTTTCATGTCTAAAGCAGGACTGGAACTCATGATCTCCCGGTTCCAAGCCTGGTGCCTTAACTACTACTCTAAACTAGCCCCCCTATAAAAGTATATTGCCTCTGAATCTGGTGCTTCAGTTTGCTATTAAATCTAACACTTGTTGCTTTTATCATAACAATTCCTTTGTTAAAGCCATTTAAGCCATTTAAATGACCATATCTTGGGGGCAAGAATTCTATAAATTACTGATGAAACCAAGTCTTTTGACTGACTCTTTTGCAAAGTGTAATATGGTGAAAGTTATTTTCTTCAGATCATTTATAACTTTAACAGCTCATTACCCATTTATGAATCTGTTCACATATGGAAGAGTAATTCAACATATTATCATTTTGGTTTCCTTATTCTGCACTCTGTGTATGCTGTTGTTTTCCAGATGGAGCTGAACCATCAAATTATGTTAATGCTTGATGATAATGGTTACTTTTCTGCATCATGCATCATTTTTATTCCAGGGCACCTTCTTTTATTGTTCATTCATTCCCTTTGGAGCTCTGCATGGTCCCATTTATTTTGGCCATTTGTGCCATTTCTATTCTTGACCAGCTCATTGGTCTAGAGCAGCATTTCTCAACCTTGGCAACTTTAAGATGTGTGGACTTATTTGCATTTTAGTGACTAAGGCCATTCCTTAGGCAGAGCAAAACCAAGCTTCTCCAGCTTTTTTTGTAAAGTTTCTGAAGGCTAAGCCAATCTAAGCAAAGCAAATGGTGCTAATCTTGAGCAGTTGTTACACCTGGATGATGCCTTAAGTGAAAGGATTTGAAACAAACATTAATTATAGGGATTATAATACATTAACATGTACTCCTTTAAATATTACTTGGCAATCTCCCAACTCTTAATACCTGTGGCAACATTTTGCCACCTCATTGGGAAACATTTGTGTAGCCAAAAAAAGGGATATTAAATTAAAAACTAGAATCCCCTTGGGTGGCTATTAGCCATTTATAGAGAGAACCACTAATGGGAGGAAATAATTGGGATTGCAACTTGCATGAGTCAACAGCAGTTCCTAAATCCCTTGCTCCGAGTTAAAACTCTCCATGCATTGCAAATTAGGTTCACAAGGTGACATTCTGCCACTTGTAAAGTGGGTTGTTTCCTCCTTTGCTTCAGGCAGCAAAATAGCAGGGGCTGGTTTTGTCTCCCGCCCATTGAATGCTCTGCATCCCGTAGCTATCTTGTTTAAAAAGATGGACTGATAATTTCAGCTATCCCTGCAAATCTACTTGCAGATGAATTAAACACAGAAAGATGGTAGGCATCATTGTTTTGGGTTGTTTGGCCTTTGTATTCCTTTAATATTGATTCAGCTGCATTCAGGAGCTGAACATTGCTAAACTATGGCATTCGGAATGTGAGGCTATTTAAGAGATGCTTAATATATAAACTCCATTTCTATTTTCCATTGTACAGTGGGGAAAAGCCAGGGAAGAACAGTGAAACACAAGTAGGATTTTAAAAGAAAAAAATAGCTGTAGAATATGGGCCATTAGAATAGGCCTGAAAAATCAGGAAGTGTAATTCTTAAAGAAGCAATTACTTTTGCTTCACACAGTCAGAAAAATCTGAAGATTATGTTTATAGTCACAGCTGGGATAAACCACTTTGTTTTCCTACCAATATAGATGGCGTCCATTTTTCAGCAGTCATAAAGTGGCTGCTGTATGCCATTTTGATTAATTCCACTTTGATGACAGTCATTTTTTTGGTAAAAACAAAATGCTTTTTAAAAAAAAAATATGTAGAAATCAACAACATTCTAAAAAAATCTGAACTTAGCACAGCCCCATTCTGTATTATATGAGGTTTCCAAAGATTCAGAAATTTGCTTTACTAGTTAAATAAAAGATGCACTTACTGATCATTGTCATCCATATCATTTTTGTCTCAGCCACTTCAGATGGGACCAGGGAGGAAATCTGAAACAGTTATTCCAAATCCTTTAATACCTGATGATAATTGTAGACAAGTCTTGTAAAGTGTGCAGTCTTTCTGGAAATTCTAAATTATGATCACTCCATAGCCAACACAGATCCACCTGAAATGGTTAAAAAACTACTAAGATTGAGTACCTCAGATAAGTTCCATTTCCTTTGCTCTGCTGAAGTAGTAGAACTAAAAGCCTGAAATAGAAGTTCTTGAAACAACACTTTGTGCATTTATATCCTTGGTAGCAGATTTATTGCA